CACGCTGTTCATTAATTAATTCAATTCAACGTATTTTTGTCGGAAATATTGAACAATAGTTATATTACATAGTATGATGTACGACGCACGTCCGATCTTACGACATTTATCCGCGCAATATACGCGATGATATGATAATGCGTGGCTTCGGACGAAAGACATTAGTTTGCGCGAAAACTAATTAGCGAACACTAATTAACTGTCTAATGTGCTGGCTGGCCGGGCCACTCGGTAATGATTAAGAAACTTCCACGCGTTACTCTAAAGGTAACGTAAATTCGTTATGCTGCATGTGCATGGTTTAACTTTCGACGCACGTTTGTGACAAACGAAAACTACGGACTGCCCACTCGTCTCCTGCCGAGTCCTTCCTCCACGTTTCGAGGCTCCTTTTTCTCTCACTTCCGCTAACGTCAATGAGAAACGACTTGACCGAGTACGTGACGGTTACGAAATTGATTCACGGCGAAAGTGCTATATTGCCTTACCGGTGCCAAGAGAAGAAAAGTAGAATGCAACGTCCAAACTTGGATAACAATTGAAATCGGAGATGATACTCGATGCATCATCGTTCCTGACTTATGTAGCGCAGAAAAAGAATGATATGCTACTGTTTGGTGAATTTTTTGAAATTTCTGAATTTTCTACGCGGGACTTTCAAGAAAATAGATATTACTTCGTTTCCGCTCTGAACGATGGTGATATCTTCTTTATCTACTCATTAAAGTTATTTCTCCTTCTGGAGCGTTTCTAATGAGCATTAAAACATGGCAATGAGTTGGGAGTTTATAATAAATAGTAGTTCTCTAATTAAAGTCAAACTCCGTGAAAAGAGAAAAAATTAAACGAAAGACTTTATACGATACAAAAGAATGACTTTGGCGAAAATAACTTGGCGCGGTCGAGAAAATCTTCCGCTTCAAGCGGAAATTCAATTAAAAAGACTTACGAAGGATCATACATATTTTACTTTTTACGAAAGAAATGAATAATTGATCGTATATGTCAATGATGACTCATTATAAATTTATTTCAGTCGACTTGGAATTTTCACACTCCGCAATCAGTTGAGAACGGTCGCGAAACGAAATTTTAAAAGAAAGGATGATAAAACGATCGTATTGAGATGTGTCGACGATAAGGCGAACGTCGCGGTGACTCTCCATGCAAATGATTCATTATTCATTATTCATTATGCCCTTCACCGACGCGCTTGCTGTAAGTTGACAGTCGTTCAATAGACATAACGAGAACAAATTGCGAACACTGCGACACTCGTCTCTCCTCTTTCGCGAAATGAACATCTCATTGTCAGTACGTTCAAGCCGATACTTGACGACGACTTAATAAGAACCAGACCGGATCTGGATGTAAATAACTCATTTGTGGACCGAGCGAATTATTTTAGTGAAAGCACTGCTCGTAGCATTTTGTGTCGAGTGTCTGCATTTGGTTATTGAATGGTCTTGCGGTCTAATAAAAAAAACTCGATGATAGAGAGAGAGAGAGAGAGAGAGAGAGAAGGAAGAGGTAAATGAAGAGATAAAACTTTCGTGTCTTTTATCGCTTTTTTAGATGACAATGAAATGAAGTGGAAGATAGAGACGAAGATAAAGAGGAACGGTGAGCAATCCTGAGATAAAAAAGAAATAATACTAACGCGAAAAAAAAGTGATCGGCAACAAAGACGACTTTCTGGCCGTTAACGTCGATAAACGGTACAACCTTCCCGTAACGAATCGTTTCTTTCCTCGATACAGATGACAGAGATATAGCGATTGTCACGCGACCGATAACAGAAATGATGGAGGCGGACGTGCTCGCGCTCGCAAGTGATTAAAGAAGGTTGTCAAAATGAATAAATGCCGTCTTTTTCTCTCGTGCAATTAAGAAGATTCAAGATGGAGATCTCCGGGAAATGACGTTAAAGAGAAAAATTGGCATTACTAATCAAAAAGACTCGTACTGCGTTTTGCTATCCGAAAATGCTAGATTATTTTTAGAAACAATTAAAAAATAACTTCGAATGACGTATAAAAATAAATGCTGTAAAAAAAATAATTTAGTTCTCCGAAATTGTTTTTCTATTAAAAAATTTCTGCGCAATACAGATAAATAATATACAAAATAAATATGCGTGCGTGGCGCGCATTTATTGTTTTGCGAAAATACCATAGACTGCGTAATATTGATGTAAGCACGACTGGAATTTTCTTGAATTTTTCGTCAGGTATTCGACATGGTCTTTGCCCGTTGCCTCTCACGGTAAATGTCGCCCGTTTAAAAATCGAGCTTTCAAGTCAAACGACGTAAGCTCTCGACGACATCAATCGCGACAGGGAAGCACCGACGCGGTTCGGAAGCAAAAAGGAAAAGAGAGACGAGGCAGTTAAAAAAGACTCGCGCAAAGGAACCGAGATCGGTCCCTTTTCAGGCAGTCGGTGCGGATCACGATGAAATGGCGAACGAGCGCAATGTTGAAGAAGAATCGTTCGCTCCCGGAAAGGCTCAATTTGTTCCCACAATTTCACGGACATCGCGTGCCAAGAATGCCGCTGAAAGGTCGACTATTGTTTTTCGATCCGCTCCGCGCGTCGTCTGGTTCGCTTGGCGTCTTTATTAAATGGACGAAGATGGAAAGAATTCTATATCGGGTCACCCCGATCCAATCGCTCAAACATAATCTGTCTCTCTCTTTTTTGAATATTATTGCCGTCATATTGCACCCGTATCATACATTTTAATATATCTTTGATGCACAAACAAGAGCGGGTAATTAAGCATTTATTCCTGGCTACCCTGCAATTAGCTTTAGATGACTTTTTCTCGAGACTAATGAAAATGATGAAATTGCAGAATTAACCGGAAAACTGCGGAAACTTGAAAAATCTCTTTTACTGGCAAAATGTCTCAGAGAACTTTCAATTTTCTCGGATATTAAAATAATATCGTTATTTAAAAAAAAATGAAAATTATATATGTATTTTTGTTGGATTCACCTTTTAAATAAAATTTTGTAAAATGCACAATTTATCATTGTTATTTAATCATGAAATAGTTCTGAAAAAGTTGGGGAAGATTAGAAATTTTTTTCTAAGAAAGTTGGAAAACACGGAATTTAACGAAACGAAAAAATGACAAGCTTGGACTGACAGAGGAGACGAGGAGAAAAGCTAGAAGCAGGACAAGGAATAAGACATTGTGATGGATGGTAGACAGACAAGAAGAAAGTAGATTGGCCAAGTAGCCATCGATTCTTCTTTCTTGAGCCCACCCCTTTTTTCTTGGGGGAAAGACTTCATTAGCTTGGCGATAATTGAACACTTTCGTGACTCGTGTTCGCGAAACGCCCGCAGGTCTCTGACAACGTTTTCTCTCGAAGGCCAATCGCGATCAAACTTTCTCTAACTTATCGGATTGATGATCAAAGAAAGAATATTTTGATCAAGAATTTCGATTTAGATTTAATTCATATTATTCTATCGAAGTGAATTAAATGCTACAAAAAGATATTCAGTATTTATTTGCAACAAGTAAAAATATTAATTGTCTTTTTGTTAAATTTAATCGAGTTTTCAAAGTGGCACTTTTTTACACTTTTGTACAGATTTGAATTATTCAAGAAATTATTTGCACAATTATTTTTTTAATCTATGTACTTTAATAAAGCAGATCTCTTTGGAAAAAGAGAGAATGAGAATTCCATTCTTCGTCGAGAAAAATGTCCCATAAAGAGTCAACATACATACTATAACGCACGTATAAATAGAATAATTTTTATTTGCCTTTTCTCGAAATCTTTATGTCCGAAAATGTACATTTATCTTTTACGAATCGTAAAACTTTTACTTTTTTCGCATGTTACGCACGCATGAGTGCGATTTACTTAATCTCATAGATCGTAGACAATGTCCACGTTTGTCTGCTACACGCGTCGCTGGTAATTTTTTTCCCGTAGGAACTTCCTCGCATTGATTTATAATTCTCTCGATCATCTGGCGGTTCCCACGAGGCCTACTAACTTGTAACTTCCGCCACGTGCCACGGCCTTTTGCTCTTTTCAACACTTAAAATGGCTAGCAAAGTTTGAACCAAAAGTTACGAGATTCTGCGTTTTTTCCCCGACCACTTTCACGCTGCTTGAATTATTCAGACATGACTCGATAAAAAAACTCACAAGGATATCGTCGCAATGTATTTGATTAATGATGATAAATCTAAGGATGTGCGTACAACTAAATGTGGATTTTCAAATTGCGAGATTAAATAAAATAGCTAAATTCGAATATTTGACAAGCCTTTATCAATAATGTATGCGTTCGATATTTGTTAAATAATTTAATTTCTTCAATAGATGTTTTTTTAGATTTCTCGATTTATATAAAGACGTTTATAATCATTTAATTAAATTTGTATTATTTTAATATATTTTAAATACCACTAGGAGATGATGAGAATGTTATATCAATCGCACGAATTATTTAAACGAAGAAAATCAAATTTTGTTTAAAAATTGAAAAATATCTCAGATAAATTAATAATGTCTTCCTTTATTCATCGGTGTTAATCTTTGAATGTCTGATGACAATAATTCATATTTAATCAATGTTAATTGTAAAGAATATTATTTTAGCGCAACCAGCACATTTACAATAAAAAAAATAATTATGTTTTTATTTCTTGTTATACAGTAATTGAAAATGATCCAAAGTGGAACTGAAATGTTTAATTTTAAACTAATAAATAATATTTAAAATTATTTAGCACTTGTTCACTCGCTCTTTTACTCTGCGTTTCTTATTAGCTCTTTAATCTATATTGACATAATTTCTTACTGATTTATTGATAAAAAAACGTTATTTAAAATTTAATCTGATGATAAGTGAAGCACTATATTCATCAGACTGGATAAGCGTTAAATTATGATGCAAAATCTCATACATCTCTATTATCGTTGAAATTATCGCTCGTTCATTTTCTATAAAGCAGTCATGACTTACCGACTATAATAAGATGAACAGGATGACCGATGGGCGGAGTGGTGGATATTTGGCACTCGTAGATACCGGAATCTTTTCGCTGGGGATATCGTATTCTGAGAATCCATTCGTCCGTATGAAGTTTATTATGCATCGCCTCGAAACGCTGATCGCTCGTGTAAGTGTAAGTACCAACTGTTAGCAAATGGATATCACGGTGCCTCACCCACGAAACCTAAACAAGGAATAAAACATCGATTATTTTTTTATTACTCGAATATCTTAAAAATATTTTAGCTTTCAAAGATCATTATCATTTTTTTTTTGTATGTAACTCGTCACGAATATAAAAGTAATCGCGACGAGTGTGCTTCAAATATTATTACAGATATACATTAAAGTATTTAACAATGGATTAGCAAAAATATGTCGTGTTCTTTCTGCAATCTAAATGCAGAAATCTTGAGTTACCGCGAGCCCCGTATTGCTAACTATCATCGCTCCTCACGCCCTGTTGCTCGTAAGATTGGACGATAAAACTTTATACTCTCCCTTTTCCTAGCCCCGAGAAATTTACGAGTGCAGTAGATTCGCCGCAGCTGGAATACTTCATGTCTTTGTTTAATGTTATATAACCTCGTGATGTATAACTACAATCTCGACGTGTAACGACGACTCCCGTACTTTGCAATTATTTATAAGCGAATAGGTGCGCAAATTTGCCTATTTAACTCCCACTAGAAGTTATGAAATACGATCCCAAGTTCAACCACGTAATGTGAAAAATACATTTTTTTAAATATTATTCACATAATTGAAAAATGATTAAATGACATTAAATTACACCATTTTATCAATTGGATCAAAATACATCTGACAATGTTGATCTTCACGAGCTTGTCGTCTACAGCGATCTGATAATGATAATACGAACAAACTTCGGAGGGTGTCAAAGTGACGTTTGCCAAGTTCGGATGATGCCGGAAAGTTTTCCGATGCCGTTAATTAAAGCATCCAACCGATGATCCGGAACCGTCATAACATCTATAATCAGGGTAATTCCCCCACGTGTTGGAAATTGCGCCGTAACGACGATCTCCGGCACTTTAATGACTTGAATAGGGTTTTTCCTCCTACCAGTTAACACATTGCACGAGTCTTCAAACTGCGCGCATAATTCGGTCATACGGATGATATCGGTGCGATTTTAACGAGAATCCATAGTCATATTCATTAAACCGTACCTGGTTGTAATATCTCCCAATGGCTAAACCGGAAACAATATATATCGCGATACGAAATATCCAGTATTTATTTATGCAAAACTAATCGCGGAAGCAGATAATTTCAGTTCTAGTTAATTAACCTTATCTCTGTAAATTCATATTATTATATACTAATTTGTGATTCATTTAATATTTAGTAATCTACCTTTGTCTAAATATCTGCATTCAAAATGCTTCAGAGATTCATTCTCATTAATTAATGCCAGGTGCGCGTTGTAAGTGAAATTCTCAATCTTCCTTTTATCAATATATGGTGACAAAGACTCAGCGAATTAAAGCTTTATTAATTTAATTAATACTTATGGAAACGGTGCATAATATTATTTTCCATCCTGCACTGTAATACATTGCGCGATAAATCATTGTGGTTGTTGATCGAAATCTAGGTCGAAACTCATGATGCGCATTTGCGCTTGAATATAATCGGAAATATAAACTGCACAAGAGCTCTCCCTCGGTTTAATACGATTATCGCTCGAATGTTCCGATGTCGCAGTTAATATGCTTCTCGCAAAAAAAGTAGCAATCGTTCTATCCGGTTGCCGGCTGTTCCGGGGAAACTTTTTCACGTAATAAAATTTACAATACGCGTTCGCGCGCGCACGTGCACAAGAAAGAGAGAGAGAGAGAATACCGGGAGCTTTTGGTGGAAATATGCGAGTATAGATAAAATCCATGAACGCGCGCACCCCGTGACTGCCATAACGACGATTGCCGCACTTTTCTTTCTCGAATCTTTTTGCATATCGCGCGGAACCAGAGTTAATATCATGCCTAAAGTGGCGCTTATTCTTGCCACTTCTCTCTTTCGTGGCAAACCGCCCGCTACTTTTTCACGTAACTTCATCACTTTCGACTTCTTCATATCCCAGCATTTTCACACGAGTTAGGAATCTCATGTAATTTCGTCCGACCGAGGAACCGCAATTTTATTGACATTCTCCCGCAACATTAATTCGTGTGTGTGTGTGTATATTTAGAGACACGCTCGTATATATTTCAATAATAAACTGGCATCACATTAATACGATATTGTATTATCATAATCCATCCGTTTTAATGCAACATGCGATTACAATTCGCGTTTTCACTTTTCTAATATAATTTGCACGCCCTCCTCTTTACAGATAAAAACTTGGGTATTAACGAAATATATCAGACAGTACACGCGTAGTTGCGGCTAACATAAACGCAAAGACCGAGCTTTGCATAGAGATGAGCCACGGGATTAAAACTGCGACTTCCCAACCATCTTTGAAGACGCAGTCTAACAAAGGTCGTCCTTTTCTACTTAATCGCTACGATAATCCTCGAGTAGCGTCGCCGTTGATATTCGAGGTCGAGGACGCCTGAAGGTTCTGGAGTGAAAGATAAATTCTCCGAGGATCCGTGTCTGTTCTCAAGTTAATTTACCGATCTACTAGAAACGCTGATTTAACCGCGAGAACGAAAAAAAAAAATTTGTCCTACGACGCGGGTGATGAAGTCGGCTTAATTTAATCAACGGCGAAAGTTCAAGATATAAACTTGGGATTCGGATGTTTACAGTATTCCGGAGAAATCGTAGCGATAATTACATAACTCGAATAATACCACGGATGTTTCGTTCCGAGTTATTTCGCTGAGAGATTCCGCCGTTCATCTCGTTCTCTTTTTCCTCCATCAACAAATTACGATGTAAACATCATCGTTCGCAACATTCGTTGCATCTTCATCCTGTAATTTACTGGTTAATTCCGCAAACGGGAGATACAGTTCGCTTGGCATCTCGATAATGTTGTCGATGCTGGCCGCCTCCGCGTTCCCGAATCTCTTGCATTAGCTCCGGCAAGCCTATCTCGCGTTGTTCCCGGCGTGTCAGTGGTTGTGTTCACCTGCCGATATCCCGTGTCGAAATCTAAGCTGCTACTTGTAAGGCTTAAGATTTGCTCTCTGACTGAGAGATACGTAATTCCGGGAAGCGGACCGGTAATACCAACACGACACGCAATTTATCGCATTAATTCTCCGTGATTGTGTAATTATATTATTTCATCGTAATTAATTATTCGATATTGTAATTATGTATATCATTTGATTTGATTCCTCTAATTTGCTCTTTCACACACCACTCTCGCTCCGCATATAATGTTATACGAGATTTAATATATTTCTAAAAATAGAATACTTATTCTAGACTTACCGTTCTATTTCCGAGATTCTTTACTCTGCATCCCAGTTGAACAGTATCTCCGGCCAAGCCAGTGACGCTGGAGGGCATTGTGTTGTCGAAGTATGGACCAATTTCCGGCGTTATGCGTTCTTGGAAAGCGTCCACCATGGAAACGTGTGATTCGTACGCGATGCTTTCTGAAAAAAAAAAAAGAAACCATTTTCATTCTCTTACAAAAAAATTCTGGTGAATACAAAAATAAACACAAAATTATTTCGAATAAAGAGGACTAATTAAAAATGTCATTTTATATAATACATTTTTCTAAATTTTGATCTATCTTATCTATCATTTCGTGAGAAAATACATCTCGCTAGACGAAAAAAAAAAGAAACAATTGGACGTAGTTATGCAATACAGAACCAGTCACTAAATTTTTCGATTTCGAGATTTTTATTGCAAATTGTACCTTTGATACATTCAGGCACAATTTGCAATAAAAATTTCAAAATCTGAAAATTTGGTGGTTGGTTCCATATTGCATAGCTGCACGTTCAATTAAAGTGGAACTGCAGTAGAATGGAGTTTTCGCGCGCACTTGATACATTTATATAATTTATACCAGAAATTTTAAATTCGGAGACGCACGATAATGCGATCGGAGGACCGTGCGAGCCTCATTAAAACAGGCAACAATAAAGTTTGAAAAATATTCCGTCGAATAACTCGTACGTATCTCGCGCCCCGCACTGCGGCAAATGCAATCCTCGCGTCCGGGTGGATACGTTCCCGCGTTTGTGGATCGTGAAAGTGTGCCGAGCACACAATCGCGGGAACGCATACGTGCGTGGATGAGCGAAGTCATGCCTATTTGCATGGAAGATGTTAGTGGCTTACATACCGCGCGTCTACGCTGATTATTATTCAAATCACGACCTCCCTGGGCGCAGATAGTTCGATGGCATCGCGAGCTGACGATCGGGAGATTCGCGCTTTAAGGTGAATTTTAGCTGACTCCGGCCGATCGATATATAAGCGTCGGCATCGACTTGTCCTTTCGGGATCGTTAATCTCGAAATTTACTCCCAAAATTTCGCGCCCCAATAATCCATGAAAATATAATTCGGCGAACTTATTATAACGTGAACTTTTATTAACTCAATTTTTTCTACGCTCGAATTATACTTCAAATACAATTATATCGCATACAAAAATAACGAAATTTTATATTTAAGATTTGTCAAGTCAAAGAGGTTGTATCGTAATTACTATTTAATTTTTGCTTTTCTAATATTAGATTTAAATTACGTTGAGCAATCTATGTTTGTGCAAACAGCTATACGTATATAAGTGAGATATTAAATTAGGGAGTACCCAAGTGAATGTAATTTCCAACGAATTTATTCGAAGAAAGCAGGGGTTAAGAGGGTTTATTTCCAATCCACTTTTCGTCGTGTCGCTATCCTATTACCGCGGTGCGCTTTAAATATGTCGTAGAGGCGGGCGTTTCTCGTTCGCATTCACGGTGGAACGATCTTTTTCACTCGGCACAGCAACAGTTTAATCGGCTCGGTGTCTCGTACTTTAATACAATATACGTTGCGCGCGACTGTTAAAACGTTAATAAACGATACGGTCGGTTGAAAGCACTTTCTTCTGCATGTCGGGACGAGCGCGGCGTCTAACTTTGATAAAGTGATAACGATTCTATGCGTTATATCTTCCAGGGCATAGAAAGAAAGAGAAAGAGAGAGAGAAGGGAGGAAGAGGGAGACAGAAATGAGTTTTGCGAGATGAAAGGCCAAACAGGAGAGGCCGAACGGCGCACCCCATCTAAGCTATTTACTGTAATAAGCTTGGCGAGCCCTCAAGAGAGGATCCTACGAAACTCGCAAATTAACCCCTTCCATTTCTATCTTACTTGCCAAAAGCCAGGGTTTAGCAAGCAGCTGAATTATTCCTATCCCTCTTACCATTTTGGGCTGCTATAAAAGTATTTTCACTTGTATAAATACATCTTTCCGAAGCTAAAGGGCTTTTCGGTACTCTTGTTTCCAACGTAGATCATTTTTTAAAATGTTTTTAAATAATTTCCTGCTCTTCATTAAGTTATATGTGATTAAGATTAAATTATATTAACAACAATTAAAATGCAAAATTATAATTTATAGTTATACAATAATTATCTTTTTTTTTATAATTTTAGAATATAATAAATATAACAATATATGCATTTTTATAACTGTATTCTTCTATATCTCAAATCCTCCAGCACTGACATAAGGATCTTTTAATGTGTCGGAGAGAAAATCGAAAAGCGCTGAAACGTCGAGTGAAAACATCGGCTCGAGAATATCTTGCACCGAGTTTGGAGAAACGTCATTTGCTCCGAAAAGTATATATACATATATTCTTAGAAAAAAATCGATATCAGGGACTGTGCGACGAAAATCGCGGTGAGCACTTCCCAGCCGGAAAAATCGCGCGTAATCGGCGGAATAATATTCGCGCCGTTGTTCAAACAACCGGAACTCTCGGTTGAAAGCGGTGGCGAATAAAGGGGAAAAATGGTCGAGTGGAAAATAAAGTGGGTGCCCCCGTGTACTTTACGAGAAAAAGATAGAGGGAGAGAGAATGGAGAGAAAAACGTCGTCGCGAAAGACATATGTCTCGAAAATTCCTGCGAGCCGGCATGCTGTTAAAAATTCCGGAAATGGATGTATCGGTGCCAGACTGTCGCTTCCGACGTTGACGGTGACGATCGGAATCGACGGATGCGCAACGCTCGTTTCTCCCGGATTTTCGATGCATGCGGAATGCACCGGAGGCGAAACATTATTTACATCTTATGCGTTGGCAACTTCGCGAATTGGAAACCCTCAATGCGCTTTGGCTGCGACGCCTCGTGAGAAACGCCTTGCCTGCCGCTAGAAAGAGAAGTCTACACGATTCGATTGCCAACAGTAGAAAACGTTCTCTAGGATGGGATAGCTCTTGCCGTGAAACGTATTGACGCGACTTCATTATTCGAGCGAGAAAAGTCACATGCGACTGAAACTGTTGAAACCCCAACGCTTTTAATTTAATGGAATTTTTTATAATTACATAACGCTTTTATAACGTATTATATATGCTAATGTAAACGTGTCATTGTTATGTATTTTGATCACAGACAACCAAAGTGATTAAAGAAAAGACAATTTTTAATATAAAATTTCTCATATTGCCAAGCACAGTTAGTAAAATTTTGCTATAAGAAGCTACTTCTGCTTCCTATGTGTATTATCTGAAATTTAAAGTAATATATTTCGTGAAAGAGAAAATAACTCCTGTAGCAATATTCTCATAATGGCTAACAGCGCTGTTTTGAAATAATATTCGCATCGTCTTTAAAGCATGCTTGGCACGTTTGGCTGGAAAAAGCATTAAGTTAAAAGATTGAAGAATACAATAAAGAAAAGCAAAAGAAATAAAAACGAGAATTTATATATTAGTATAGGTACCCTTATTGGTATCTGTTTCAAATTTGATATTCATAACAAGCATAATTTACTTTAAAAAACATATAATTTGTTTGGTTCAATATATTATTAATAATTGCTGTATGGAATTATAACACAAAACAAATTATTTGTCAAATTAAACCAATAACAATTTGGTACTTTGATAAACAATGTTACTGTTATAATAGTAATTTAATAAAATAAATAAATGCATCTTTGTCGTACATACATATATAGAATAATATTCCAGAATTGAATATTTGAGTTTTAACATTTCTAGATAAGAGAAGTGTAAAGTCTTAATGTAAAATAAGATTTTAATTCGTCATTTTAAATTTTCGACTCGAATAATTTTTTATATTAAATATCGCAGGAAAGATTTAGCAAAAAGTATCTCGTCCAGTGTCACGCTTCGTCCTGGAAAAGAGACTACTCCTCGGAAAAAGTCGTAAGACGACTAGATCTCGCGGGAATAATATCCTCCCCTCGTTGTTCAAACAACTAGGACGAAGGGTTGAGGTAGAGTAAAGGTGGTTGGAAAAACGAGCAAGAAGTGAAAGGTAAAATGGAGAAGTCAGAGACGTGCAGCTTCGGGTACAATAGAGCATCATCTAGGAAGATGTTAGCAAAACATACATCGAATACATCGAATGTTCCGTGACAAAGTATAACATTCCGAGAGAAAGAATGACGTTCTTTCAAGACGTTTACTAAGAGATTACGAAGTTTATGACAGTTATGTCAGTGAAATAAAAATGTTATACAAATCAACGAGGATTATATATTGTAAATGTGATTAATAAAATCACACACATATAGATACATATTATTATATTAAACAAGTTTTTAAATTTCCTTAAGATAATAACATAGGTATCAAAGAGGGGTTGTTAATTTTCTGAAATTTTTCAAAAGACTGTTTAAACAATAATATAATAACGAAATTTCATTATCAAGAACATATATACCTGCAAAATATATTTTTTAAAAGCGTTATTATGTACAATATTACTTCGGCATTGTTTGAAACTTAAACGGATTGCACACAGTCGACTAGCGAAGATCTGTAAACTACTTGGCGGGCTATATCATGAAAGATTATCGACGAAGAAGAAACTGTCGTTGAAAGAAGTCGTTGAACGACTTGGCGGGCCGCTTGGGAATTACGTTCTCTCTTCTTTCGTGAGTCGGCGAGGAAAAGCGATGGGAAAAGCGCGGCTAGACAGAAAAGTCGTAGAGCTCGAGATCTCGAAGTACGAGGAAATGTCCGGAATGTATGTACGTACATACATTCGAAAACCTCGAAAATACAGCAGAAATTCTGCGAAAACAGACGTCGACGATCGAGGTTGATGGATACATCACTTCCTCCCTCTCTGCCCTCTCTTTCTCCGGCTCGTGTGCATTTTAAGGGTGAAGAGGCGCGCGAAGAATGCATCACAAGTGAATGCTACTTGCGAATCTCGTGCGATTCTGCCACGGTAACACCATGAATATCGGCTTTTGCTGTCTATGAAATGCGCTCGAGTTAGTCACGTGGTGACGCATACATGGCAAACATAATAGAATTTTTTATTCCTGGAGAAAAAATTGATAAAAGGAGTTTTGTCGAAGATTTCGCAGACAAGTTTTCAAGTCTTTGCGAAAAGAAATGGATTTTCGCAAAGAATCGTTTGACGAAGAATGAATGTTAT